ATGTGCTATACTATAAGCCTAGAGAATAGGGAAATTTGTAAGCTAACCTAGTTACTATAGTAGCTTTTACTAAGCTATTTAACTAAGATTACACCTCTAAGGATTTATAAGCTTATTACTACTAGCTAAAGAAAATAGCACTAATAATTAACTAGGCCTAACTATAATAGGTAATAAGATTTAAGTAGAGTTACTAAGGCTTCTTATAGAAAGGAAGTATAACCCTAGACACCTTTACCTAGATCTATAAAGACCTAGAACTAGTAAGGATAGTAGATAAGTACTTTAAGATATATAAATAGCACTTAAAGGAGATAAAGTAGATAGCTAATTTAGGGTAGTGCAGGACTATATACTACTCTATTATTTAATAGCTAGTATAAGGGGATATAGGATACTAGCTCTAATATACTATAATCTAGGAAACTATAAATCTAATCTTATACCTATACTACACTAAGTACGCCTAGGTAGGAGACTAGATATTCTTTTATTACGTAGACGTAAACCTTTCTAAGGCAGCGTAGTTAAAATAAGGGCTTAAGATAATCTAAGGCTTAGTTTCTTTTAATAATAAGGACTAAGATAACTATACTAAGCTCCTAATTAGATTTAAAGAAGTATAGAAGAATTAGGTAAATTAGATAGATAGGGGGTTAAGGAGGAACAAGAGGGCCTATATCTAGGTATAGGAAGATAGGGTGCACTAGCCTAAAGAGCTAAGGGAGAAGTGCCCTATAGTAAGATAGGAGAAGGAAATCTATTAAAAAGGATAGGTAAGGATTATAAGCCTAGTAATACTATATAGATCTACTAGACCTACTACTTAAATATAGTGTATAGTTCTACTATAGTATATAAAAGTATAGGATAATATAATAATAATAGAGGTACTAGAGATAGGGATATATATAGAGATTACACTAGCCTACCTATAGATAAGTATAGCCCTAAAGACTCTATTAGGGCACCTAGTTAAATATAGTAGAGTCTAATAGTAATTTCCTAAAGATATCTAGGCTACCTATCTAACCTAGGTCTTAAAGGTAATTATATATTAGGTTTAATAGAATAACCCTTTAGTAAAGGTAGAGATCTAGAAGTACCTAATAGGAGATTTAAATAGAGAAAGGATAGAAGTATAGATTAGGAAGAGTTAGGTTAAGATAGTAAAGGAGTTAAAGAAGAATTAGGCTATCTATATTAAGAATAAGAAGCTTATATTTAGTAAGGATAAGGAAGCTAGGGTACTAGACTAATCCTATTTTAGTATAAAGGGGGTATAGCCTACTAAGGTAGGAGAGTAGTAGAGGTATAATAGATAGATTAAGCAATTAGAGACTCTAGATATAGTTAAAAAGCATCTAGGAGCTATTAAAGAGGAACAAAAGGTAGAGGGATCTAGGCGCCTAGGGCTAGGCTATACAGGAAGCCTAGTAAGGGTATAGAGGAGAACTATCTTATTAAGTTTAGGTTTAAGATTAGAGACCCTAGATACTTCTACTCCCTTACCTAAAGCTTAATAAGCTAGGAACTAGGGTTGTAGACCTAGAGGAGGAGAGTAAGGGCTAAGCTTAATAGGGCTAAGCTTAAAGGAGGGGGAGGTTTATGCTATAGTATAGGATGTATAGGAGAAAAACAAGGCTTAGCCTAAAAAGTTAGGTAGATTAAATAGTATAAAGGTATAAAGGATTAGAGAATAGGATAAGCATAACTCCTATAGACTTTACTTTAACTCTATAATATTATCTTTTTACTTATGTTTCTGTATTAAACTTATATCCTCTACTGTAGGATCACTACTATTAAACCTTGCCCCTCCTACTTCTCCTCGTTTGAATGGGTTACTCTCCCTGTTAGTTTAGTAGTAGTTTTAAATTTCTATAGTATTACTTATAATAGGCAAGATAGGTATTAAGAACTAATTAATAGTATATATCTAGTGCGTATGGTACTATCTATTACAAGAGAGACTATTCGTTAGACCTTTAGAAGCGTTAATTTCAAGGCCACTAGGTCTACTTCAACTAAGCTAGAACAACCTGTTACACGACCTACTAAGGTTAGATTGTAGGTAACTATAACTACTTAAATCCTTGCATTAATATTCTAAGAGGGGCGCTCTACGCAAGCGTTGTTAGGAAGATTATTAAGAAGTTGCACAAAGAGAGCGTGTTTGGCGTATTAAGTACGCTACCTATTAAAATCGTTACATAGTACGAGAATTCTCCTCGCCTATTACGTCGCTAAAGGGGGTATTAAGTGCCATAAAGTATGGATCTTGCAATAGACCATCGTAGACGCTTAAGGGCCAATTACTATAGTACAAAACTGGTTTATAGTAGCTATATTTATCTAAGGTAGACTAAGAAGTAGTTTAGGTAGAAGAAGTAAACCTAAATAGGGTTTACTATACTATATATTTTATAAAAGTAAACTACTTTTTTTTTACTTCTATTATTTTCCTAATATTACGTAGTAATAACTAGTTTCCTACTAACTATTTAAGTATTTCTACCCCTCCTTTGTTTCATCTTGTTTACCACCTCTACCACCTCTACTACTACCTCTACCACCTCTACCACCTCTACCACCTCTACCACCTCTACCACCTCTACCACCTCTACCACCTCTACCACCTCTACCACCTCTACCACCTCTACCACCTCTACCACCTCTACCACCTCTGTTATTACTGCCTCCTATTAATAGAAATATTATAACTTATTATTATATTATATATACGTATAGTATAAAGCTAATCTTCTCTTACCTTTTTAGTCTTAGTTAGGTATTATAGTATATTATAGAAATAAAACTACTATATATATTTAATTTAAAAACCTACTATAAAAGTAAACTACTACTTTAGATATATATACTAGGTTGAATATAAGTTATTTACACCTATATAGTAAACCCCTAGGTTACTATTCTACTATACACAGTTTTGTACTATAGTAAATAGCAAGCAAGTTATTCTCATACGGTCAGAGGATAGGCAAGTTAGTTAGGCCCGAAAAAAGGGAGACGTTACCTATATTAAAGCATCGTAGTATGCATGAGTGAGAAGCCCGAGCTCAATCTCATCTTTGAACATTAAGAGGAGAACATAGTACTATAGGTACTTAATACGTCTAAAATACTTGAATTAATAGATATAGCACGCCTCTCAACAACATACACTATAGTACAAAACTGGTTTATAGTAGCTATATTTATCTAAAGTAGACTAAGAAGTAGTTTAGGTAGAAGAAGTAAACCTAAATAGGGTTTATTATACTATATATTCTATAAAAGTAAACTACTTTTATTTCTACTTCTAATAATCTACTAGTATTACTTAGTAATACCTAGGTCCTACTATTTAAGTATTTTACCCCTCCTTTCTTTAATCTTCTTCACCACCTCTATCACCACCTCTATCACCTCCACCACCTCCACCACCTCTATTATCACCACCTCTATTATCACCACCTCTATTATCACCACCTCTATTATCACCACCTCTATTATCACCACCTCTATTATCACCACCTCTATTATCACCACCTCTATTATCACCACCTCTATTATCACCACCTCCTATTAGTAAAAATATCATAACTTATTATTATGTCATATGTGCGTATAGCGTGAAGCTAATCTTTTCTACCCCTTTTAGTCTTAGTTAGGTATTATAGCGTATAATAGAAATAAAACTACTTTTTATACTTAATTTAAACCCCTACTATAAAAGTAAACTACTACTTTAACCCTATTTATAGGTATACACAAGGTTAGTTTACACCTATATAGTAAACCCCTAGCGTACTATTCTACAGTAAACAATTTTTTACCGTAGTGATAGATCAAGGCCTAAACTGCAAACCTATATTCTGAATTATCTCTGAGCAAAGACCAGTTGCCGTTCACTCCAAAAGACTTTCGAAAGCCTGAGCACACAGGAGATCTTGATAATGTCTGGCCATCGCAGTCCGCAAGCCGTTAGATAGGGAGCTGCTAGGCTGCTTGATCTGTTCTTGTCCGAATATCTTCCTGGAGGAGACAGTATCTGCCTAGCAAGTCGCAAAGGTAAAGCTTCAGCACCACCCACATCTTTGAAAGCTCAAAGCAGCTCTCGGCGTTGAACAACAGGGTGTAGCAGAGCTAGCGATTGCTAGGATTGCGCTCATCTTTGCTTTGAAGTACTTGGTGTCTCATACTCAAAGAAGAAACATATGAGTGAGCTTGAAGGTCCATGACTGGTGTGTTTAATCGACCCGCTTCGTGGCAACAGTTGAGATGAAGACCCCGAAGGGTGCAATACCTAATGTCCCGATGGTCCTTGGGGCAAACCTCATCTCGAATGCGATATTGATATATTACAGACATGTCATCGATAGTAAGCAAGAGCTAAGAAAAAAAAAACTGACGAAAAGTGACGCCAAGAGACATGAGGACTTCAGAAGCATGCATTGGATAAGATGGCAAAGTCCAGTCTTGGCAACAAAGGAGATGATGAGTTGCTCTTGGGCGGCAACGATAAGATAGAAGAGGATAGTGCATGCTAACTGTGAACAATAGCCCCAGAAGATGGTACTTTAGGTACGAGAAATGCTAACTCTTCTCGGGCAAATATCAGAAATAATATGTAGGTAGTTGCAAGATCACTTTTGCCAAAAAACAGCAACTTAGTATTTGTAATTTAACTCTTAAGGCATTACAACTTAAAAACTTAGTTAAGGAAAAGCTTAAGTTGGCCTACTTCTATCTTTACAATAGGAAGGATTTATTTTAACAAGTATCACGCATTAACTTCTTCTTGCTAATGCGGTAAGTGCACTTAGTCTATCTAACCTTGGCGACGTGAGTAACACATTGGCCAGGATTTTAGTAGATGCCTGAAGTGGGGCACTAGTTCTAGTGTAGGTGACGCATTTCTGTAGCGAAATCACGTTACACTGTCTCTTATGAAATCAAACTTCACATTATATATTTTTATCTTTCCAAACTAGCCATCAACGCAGCAAATAGCTTCGGTTGCATAGTGTAGTGGTTATCACTCCAGATTTTGACTTGCATCAAATTTCTGGTAACCCCAGTTCGAACCTGGGTGCGACCTTACCTTTTTGCGTTTTGGACTGCTTCAGAGCACTCGCCAAAGTCTGCCAATAGAGAGGGATTCTTTTTGCCGCAAGATAGGACTTTGCATAATGTGCACACCACTTGAAGAAAGTAGATGAAGGGCTGAACGATGTTGAGGAGATGGCGCGCAAAGTAGGTCAAGTAAACTTGCTTGTTACACAGGAGGTACACCAGAATGCATAGCATGCGGTCATCGCGCATCAAGTTTTTAATGGCAAGAGAGAGTGATGGAGAGGATTCATTGTACTTTGGGAGAGTAGACTTTGTCCTAGGAGCAGGGATTGACTTCAGAGGCGGATTGATGAATACTGTGGCTGGGCAGGACGTTTATTCCCAATACACGATTGATTGAAAGATGTCTTGGGTTATCTCGACTGCAGAAGCGCTGCACCAACTATACTGACCTACGCACCTGACCATCTGAACCAAAGCCTATGAATAGCATTATTCCCATTTTCTTCCCGTACCCTTTCCAAACGCCTTCGCTCGAATGACCCAATGCTCATGCAGTAAATGCCAGGGTCTGGTATAAAAAAAGGGCTACTCTAATCCTCTCACCACCAACGACTCCCGTTGCCCCCACTTGTCGCACATTCCAAACACACCCTCCTGTTTGCCACAACAGCACATGTCCCACAAACCTTTTTCCCACACTCGCAACAAGCAAAGGGACTGCTCTCAAGGGCGCCTCCCATGGCAACATCCATGTCGACGTGCATGCCGTCCATGTCATCGACGAGCGACGCGTCGCAGTCGTCGCATTGTGGGAGGTGGGACGGGGACTGTGACTGTCGTGGTTGAATGGGGAAGATGAGCGGTCGTACGGGAGGAGCGGGGAGTTGTTTCCAGAAGGCGTGGAGCGTGGATTTCTGTGGTTGTTGTTGTTCATGGAGTGGGCGAGAGGGCTGACTAGGGGGAACTGAGACTGTTGGGATGGTGGAGAGGACGGGAGTGGACTGTTGGGCGGTGAAGAGTTTGTTCAATGTGTTTTCTGTGGTTCAGTTAGCATTGAGCCTACCTGTGTTTGGGGTCGAGTATCCTGTGCGAACCGTACCGTGAATTGACCGTTCATCGGGACGGTTATCCCGGAATCTCTTGCGTGTTCGGAAGCCCCAGTCGCTGCTCTTGACGCGACTTGCGCTGGCAAAATTCCATGCATTTGCTCGTGACGCTGAGTCGGTATCCAAATCCATTGCGCCATCACAACGGGAGGAAAACGTGGGTGATTGGGTGTCTGGGGTGCAAAGAGTGCCGAAGCTGGAGATGGATAGCGGCGAGGCATCGTCTTCTGAGCGCTTGCGTTTGATGGTCATGTTTGCGCAATGGAAGAGTTTGATAGACGTTCAGTAGGTTCGATTATTGGACATGTGGCCGCCTTGGCTATGTTGTATGCTGGGTTACTATGGGAGGCTTGCAAGTCGATGAAGGATGGATGATGCTGTCTCTAGGCCAAGTCGACGCGACCGGTCATGGCGTGAGCGCGTCGCGTCGCACTTGCCATGTTGCGATTGGACTGAGCCATCGTCGCTTCTTTCATCGAACGCACAACACCAATTTCGATTCGTATCTTCGGGAGAGTGAGAGAGAGGAGGGCAAGTCAATGGGAGATGAATCTTGGGAGCTATCAAGAGAATCGATGCTCGGTTTTGTGGGCACAACGGCAATCTTTTTTTGGAGGTTGCACAAGCGGGCCATACGGTGGCAGGTACCGGTGGCGCTGTGAGGAAAGACGCTCATCATCTGGCATCATCTGGTATCAAGCCAGGGCATTACAATACTCAGTCTTGGGACAGACGTCGAAGCCGATGCAGATAACAGCAAGATTGCCAGGCCTTGGGTAGGTCGTAAGTACGCGTATTCACACAGCACATGTAGAGTACCCAGAGTTATCCCATCGGCTAGCTACACCGGCACCGGCACCGGCACCGGCACCCCGCCAAAGCTTCCCCCGCCAACAGCTGCCTCATCGTCACCAGACACTTTCATTCCCTTGCCCACCATTCGGGCTTCAAGAAGACAAGTTGTTCTCTGTTCTCCGGGCTCGGGTCTCCTCCTCGACTACACAGAGAGCAAGCATGGTCACTCGCAGCCCATCACACGCTGGGTCATGGTATAGTGACAACAAAGAGTTGCTATCGCGACAGCTTGACGGCTGGCTAGAAGCCGTGCCCAGCCCGGCCAGGCCCATAGGAACCAGCTCGTCACAGCAAGGCGAGGTCTCGATCCCCACACCAAATGCGCGAGCCATCATTGCACCGTAGGCTGTCACTCATCGACGTGGTGAACAGATCTGGACTCATGGTTCCTGCAGGCACGCTGGATACTCGTATTCTGGACCTGCAGCAGCATGGGCCTACAAAACTGTAGACTGGACGAATGCGTGTGTCCTCATCTCTTCCACCAGACGGATCATGTAACACCCCACTAATGTGTAATCCAGCAAACGAGTCTTCCTACTCGGCCCTTCACACCACTACTACCTCACCGGCGCCGCCACCACGGGCTGCGACAATTATGGCACGCCGCTCGGTGACCTGATCGTCGACACTGCGCTGGTCAAAGAGATCCAGACAAAATGGCAGCTAGAAGTCATGTCCAAAAGCGTGGACGAAGATGAGCACAGTCTGGAAATGCATCTTCCCTACATCCACAAGATGCTCTCACTGTAACCACCACCCCCCAACCCTCTTATCCACTCGACTCATGCTAATCAACCCGTCCCCCTCCCTTAAAGCAACAATCCTTCTTTCCAGTCCTCCCCCTCGTCCGTCCCCCTCGTCCCAATCATGATCGGCAACACGGACCCCTCCACTGAATCCCACTATGGCGCCCTCCTTGCCCCTTACCTCTCCGACCCCTCCAATATCTTCGTCGTCTCCTCCGACTTCTGCCACTGGGGCTCCCGCTTCCGCTACACATACTACCAGCCTGCCGATGGCTCGGCGGCCATGACCCTCCGCTCCAGCTCGCGCGTCCCCCCCGAGTACCCCATTCATGAGAGTATCGCAGCAGTAGATAGGGAGAGCATGGCCGCCGTGGAGAGCGGCGAGCACACGCGGTTCCTCGAACAGTTGAGGAAGACGGGCAATACAGTGTGTGGACGGCATCCGATTGGTGTGTTCATGGCGGCTGTGGAGAAGGCCGAGATGGATGGGGGAAAAGGCCGGTTCAAGTTTCTGAGGTATGAGAGGAGCGGGCTGGTGGAGAGTGTCAAGGATAGCAGTGTTTCCTACTGCAGTGGCTTTGCCGTTCTGTGAGAGTCGGTTCAGGCTACTTCTATGGCTTGAAAAGGTTAGTACAATAACAGTATGGAGGCTACTTCACAAACAAAATGCAAGATGTATATCATTCGTCTTGTCCCACTTTTGGCCATGTACATACCACGTAGGTATTTCTCACCACCCAGCCTCGCTCTGACGTACGCCACGCACCCCCTCTCTTCATCCCTCTTGGTCTGCAGTGTGCGCGTGGCATGCTGTACGACTTCAATTGTGATTTACATGTTGAAGCAAGCATACGCATGGAGAAAATACAAGCGGCATGCAATAGCACTAGGATACATCGCGATGATTATTAAATGCTAACCTGTTCATGTGAAAATTATTACTCAACAGCTTCGTATGATTTCTCTTCGCACAGTATATGGAGTTGTGTACGCGCATTCAATGTGCTCGACACTTGTACAAACGATGCCAACATCCACGTCGATAACAATTTTGCCAACAAGGCGGGGGGGTATCTGTCATGTCTTTGTTTCCCAAACTCCAACACCACTCACTTGTCTTACCGCTTAGGCCTCGTGCGCGCGTGCGGCCGAGTTGTCGACTTTGTCGCGCCTCTCGCGACCCTTGTCACTCCAGGGGAAGTGGGCGACTGGGATGACGAAGAAACTGTGGCGTGTGCGTGAGTATATATATCAAAGTTTAAAAACCTAAACTGGGCTCGACATACCTGTTGGAGCTGTCCGCGATACCGGCAATGGCGTTGTACCATGCAAGAAATGCGGCCATAAGGCCAAACGCACCGCCTGCAACGATGCATTCGCTCTGGGGCTCCAGGCCGTCGTTTTGTAGGTAGCCGATTCCGAGCAGTAGAAAGGCTAGGTCTAGAGTGAAGAATAGCGAGAAGAAGGCGACGGTGGAGCGCAGCGTGCAGATCAGCAGTAGGGTTGTGAAGATGAACCAGCCCATGAGGAACAAGCCGAAGGAGTTGAGGAACACGGCGTGCGAGCCGTTGACGCCAGCGGCAATGAGTGCGGATTCGATTTCAAAGCCAGGAGTGAGGATGATGGCGAAGGAGAGCCAGAAGCCGCCGTAGGAGGAGAGGGCGGTGGCACCAAAGGTGTTGCCTACTGCCATTTCCCTTTGCATTCTGTTAGTATGTTTTTTCTCATTCTGACACTTGGAAACTCCCGAGAAGCCATGTTGAGAACACATACCACATTCCAGCACACAATTGCACGAGCCCACCATATCCGTACGCCAATGCAACGACTATGTTGGGCGCGCCAATGCTCTTCGTCTTGACGTTGATGAGAGAAAGGACAAAGGTGGTAAGTGCGAAAGCAGAGAGACCTAAGGGCGCAGGGTTGGCAAAGCCGCGCGACTGAGGCTTGTAGAGACCGGGTTGAAATTCTCCACCAAAGGCCGTGAGGCGCATGTCGGGGTTGTTTGTTGCAATGTGGGCAAGAGGATTCCCGCCGTAGTCGTAGGGGGCCCTTTGCTTTGTTGCACCGTTGTTGTGGGCATGGTCGAGGGAACTGGTGCCATTGCCGTCCTTTTCATAAGATGGCCCGCGCTGTTGTCGGTGATTAAACTTTACTCGAGCTTGTGGGGGGTAGGGTGAGGCAGTCTTACCCCGACGTTGTTGTGTTCGACTGCAGTAGCCATGGTGACTTGGTCAGACGAGACTTGGTATATGATTGGACGAGAAGAGGATCCAAGAACGTGGGTGTATGGTTCAGGGAATCGAGTCTGGGGAAAGAAAGTAGGACAAGTTTTTCTGGGGAAGGACGGTAGATATAGCTTGCCCTGACCCCAAACGGGCTGCCGACGGAATCTGGACCCCGGACGACGTGTGCCATGAGCGGTGCAATGGAAAGTAGATAGTACCTAAGCGCCAATGAACTAATAAGCAGTGCCAAATCACTCTCCATGGCCCGTCCAGACCGGGTAAAAGAGCAGCATGGGGGGTGGGCATGGGTGGATCCCCATTTTTCCACTTGCATGAATTCAGTTGGGGGGGGGGGGGGGGGGGGGCGGGTGAAGGCCAATCTTGGCTGACAAAGGAAATGTACGAATGGATAGGGTATTACAAGTCAGTTCGCGCTGATCAGCTCAGATGATCGATGATTGGGGATGAAGGATGGAAATTGAAGCCAGTGCGAAGGGTGGTGGGTGTGAGCGATGACGCCATGGAGCGATTGATGGTGTTCGGCGAGGATGTCGAGGATGGCGTGAATGGCGTGAAAGGGTGGAGCTTATTTTCGCATACCAAGACGTAGTTGGCTAAGCCATCAGTAGGGGTTAACAAAGTGTGGCTGATGCCGCAAAGGCCGCCGACCACGCAAATACGAGGCATTCGAGGTCTGGGGTGGTCAGGTGCTGTAGGTTATGTGTGCTCTGCTCTAGGGACGATAGAAGAGGTAGCAGTTGTATTGTGGAGAAAGGTGTTTGCTGCTGTTTTCTTCTCCACTGTCAGAACCGGTCCGGGACAACTTGGTCCGGGCTGGTTGCTTCGGTTAGATGCTGGACTGGACTGGACTGGACTGGACTGGACTGGACGGGTACTAAGTTGTGTTGGTTGTATTGTACTCTACAATGGGGAACGGAAATATCGGGAATGGATGACGACTCATGGCCACTCGGCTACCAAGCTTTATCCAAGAGCCTCGGCATCAGCCACTGGCATCTTGACATGACGTTGTGTAAAACTCGCCCAAAAGCCAGTCTCAGCATGTACTCTTCCATGTGTTTGTAAGCTTCGAGCAAATGGTATTCGTCGTGAAACACCCACAGCTGATCATTCCGGTGATTACCATGAAAGAAAACGGGGTGCACACCAATGACTAATGGGCTGTCGTGTACGTTGTGGCAGCGGAATATTCGGCTCCGCAGAGTGGAGCCATTCTTTGCAAATCTCTCTCTCTCTCTCTCTCTCTCTCTGTGTGTCTCTTTCCATGTCTCTCTCTCTCTGTCTCTCTCTCTCTCTCTCACTCACACACACACACACACCTGAGCTAGAACAGGAGAGGCTCTGAGGCTTTCTTGTTCAAAATAGTTGGATCCTTGCACAATGTCAACAGCGAACATGCCTGCGCATTGGCATGTACATACCATGGCCTTCCTGTTCAAGGGCTCCAATAAATTAGCCTAATAGGCCGTTGAGTGGGAATTTTGATTACGTTGGCAATGCTGACCATGGTTGCGAGAGCAATCAATCTGTCTCGTTGCCATATCGGCCTGTTGACGTTTCAGCCTATACTATACGACGTCGTTGAGCAGGCATGGCTCGCCGGCTCTTCGTCCGTCACCATCGTGTGTTGTTATGTATTCGAGGTTAACTTGCACATTAACAACACCCACGTGATGTGCAACGCAACCGCCCAAGCCTGTGTTTTATAAATTATCAGCATTTCGACTGTCCTCGTTGACCATCCCAAGTTCCAACTGACGTCCGATTGCCATACCTGTCTCTCGACAGCTTTGTTCTAGACATGTCATGTCTACTGGGTCACACGGTACAAGACGGAGAGAATGGCCCGTTTAGGCGCTTACTGGGTCGATGCTCCATGTTTTGAGTTTGACAGAGTGGCCGTCCCGTCCACTTGTCGGGCTGTGGATTGATCGACAGGGAGATACGAGGTCACGCAAAATACAACACTCTACTCTATTGCACTCTACTAGTCTTCTCGATCTTCTCCAAACCTTTCTCCACGACTTCTCCACAGTACACTACGCTAATGTCGACCGTCCCCGCCCGCTCTCCTGCACACGCGCTCTAGCCTCGATGAAGATGCCTGGCCCTGGCGACTTGAATCGCTCTTCATCTCTGCCCTTCCGAGGTATAGATACTGGCGTGTAGGTGGTTGTGCTAGCTACAGAACCCAGCAAGCTTTGATGCCAGATCTGCGGCAACTTTGATCCTGCCCAAGGTTTGGCGCGGGGATTCGGGGATTCTGGTCACGTGCAGCTCCAACTGAGCTCCAAACCACGTGACCCTGCTTTCCAGCTGACATCAAGGCCCGAGACGACGTCAACCTTCTCAGGCTGCCCTGACGAGGCTGTGTTCCTCCTTGTAGGCAGACACCACCTCGTCTTGGCTGGTTGTTGTCGTCGAGGTTGATAGCTGTGTTGAGACAAAATATCACTGCTTATCCTTCTGAGTCTTCACTTGCTTATCAACTGTCGATTGTTTTGCGTCTTCTTGGCCTCTATTCACCACCCACCTCATACCCATCTCATCACAGCTCATCACAGCCCATCACTACCTCTTCTTCACCATACAGCGTATACATAGCCCATCATGGCCCCCCCTCACCCCACAGGCGACACCGACGCCCATGTCGACATGGCCTCTCTCGCCTACTTTGACCACTCGACGGCCAAGCGCATCAACACCGACGCCGTGCTCGTCGAAGCCCTGCGCACGCAATACCCTCATCTCGACCTCGTCGTCGCCCCCCAAGCCGGTCTCAACCTTCTTGCCTATGCCGCCGCCGGCCACGCCAAAGCCATCCCTCTCGATGACACGGTCAAGGACCACGTCTACGGCCCTGGCCTCAGCTGGCGCATCTACACCCCGCCACCCCGCCGTCTCGACACCCGGCCGGGCTCCATGGTCGAGAAGCTGCTCTTTGGCAAGTTCATGTACAAGTGGAAGGACCAGGAAGCCATCCTCTACGTCGCCAACGGCCGCGACGGCGGAGCCTACTACCCCTCCCTGACGAATCACTACCTCCTCACCAATGCCACCCACAAGGTCGACGAGTTGATCAAGGAGGCGACCACATGGGGCATGGAGCTGCACAACGAGGTCTGGGTGTTTGACTCGGGAATGTGGCAGAAGAGTGCCGAGCTCTACGACTCTGTTCAGAAGAGCGACTGGTCGCAGGTCATTCTGGACGAGGACATGAAGAAGGCTCTCATCTCCGACGTGGAGACTTTCTTCGACTCGCAACAAACCTACGCCGACCTCAAGGTCCCCTGGAAACGCGGCATCATCTACTATGGTCCCCCAGGCAACGGCAAGACCATCTCCATCAAAGCCATGATGCACTCCCTCTACCAACGCGGCCAAGGCTCCGACGCCCGCACGCCAGTCCCCACCCTCTACGTACGCAGTCTCGCCTCCTTTGGGGGCCCCGAATATGCCATTAGCCAAATCTTTGCCAAAGCACGGCAAGAAGCGCCTTGCTACCTCGTCTTTGAAGATCTCGACTCTATTGTCCACGACGACGTGCGCTCCTACTTCCTCAACGAAGTCGACGGCCTTCGCGCAAACGATGGTATCCTCATGGTCGGCTCCACCAACCACCTCGACCGCCTAGACCCGGGCATCGCAAAGCGTCCCAGCCGCTTCGACCGAAAATACTACTTCCCCAACCCGGACCTCGCCCAGCGCGTCCAATACGCCCACTTCTGGCAGACCAAACTCCAGTCTAACAAAGACCTCGTCTTTCCCGACGCACTCTGTGACGCCATTGCGCAAATCACGCATGACTTTAGCTTTGCGTACATGCAAGAGGCTTTTGTCGCCGCGCTGTTGGCCATTGCGGCCCGTGGCGGCAAGTCGGCAAGCCAAGCTGCGCTCGAAGCCAAACGCTGGGCTGGTCCCTGCGATCCCATGACACACATTAACGACGATGAGCCCTTGCTCGGTCGTGGTCATGGCCACGGCTATCCGCCAAACGGACAAGCGGATCTGGAGAAATTGGAGCTCTGGATAGAGATACAGAAGCAGGTCAAGATCCTGCGCGAGGAAATGGACGAGAAGGTGGATCGGGTGGCGTCTGTGGATTCGAGGAGCTCATTGCTGCAGTATAGAGATGAGTTGGATGCTGTTCTTCATGGTCGACGGCAAGGGCCATTGGGATTGGAAAAGTTGCTGGCTAAGATGCAGTTTTAGGGGGGGGGGAGGGTTTCTTGGACATGGATATCGGCTGGTGGCTGTTGGAGGTCCTGGTCGTTATTACTGTTTATTTTTCATGTGGCATGACCTATAACGAAGCGCTGTTCTCTCTCTCTCTTCTTCTTCTTGTCCTATTTTCTTATCCATCTAGCCCATTTACACAATATGTAACCATACCTCTATTCATGCGTCCCGACGTTTCTATTCTTGCTCTTCATCCAATATGTGATTACACACTCCCACTGGGCACAACCACCGCTCCATTCGCACTCGCACTCAGATTCTCCCCCCAAATCTGCACAACAAGCTGCTTCTTATTAATCTTGCCCATGGCATTTCGCGGGATACCCTCCACCACCCTCATCTCCTGCGGGATCTTGTACGCCGCCAACCTCTCCTTGAGCGCGCGCCTCAGATCCAAGACCCCCCAAGCCTTGCCACCCTTGCCCGCCCTCCTCCCTCGCTCACTCAGCACGACCACAGCCGCGACTTTCTGGCCCCAAGCCTCAGACGGCAGCCCCACGACGGCGACTTCGGCGATTTCCGGCAGCGACAGCATTTCGCGCTCGATTTCCAGGGCGGATACCTTTTCGCCTCCAGTCTTGATGATGTCTGCAGATTGACGGCCGAGGATGAAGTATAGGGGGCCTTGGCACCAGGGTTGCTGTTGTGCGTTTTGGCCCGCGCCCGCGACATGGCGGCGCATGGCAACATCGCCTGTTTTGAACCAGCGTCCGCGACCGTCTTGGTCGTCGACGAATTCCTTGGCCGTGGCCTCGGGATTCTTCCAGTATTCCCGGAAGATGGTAGGCCCGCGCAGTTGAATCTCCCCTTGGCGTGGTCTGCCGTCTTTGTCAACTTCCTCGTCTTCGGGTATGACTTGCTGGGTCTCGCTGTCTACCAGTCGTGCTTCCACGTTTGGGAGCGGCCATCCTACACTCCCATCTATGCGGTCGGCGAAACTGAGTCCACAGGATAGAGCCATGCCTACTTCGGTCATACCATAGCGCTCGAGTAGGACGTTACCGCCGGATAGCTCTGTCCATGCAGACTTTACAGGGGTAGGGAGAGCGGCTGAGCCTGAGATGTTGAGGCGGAGGTTGGTGGGGTGGAGGGCGGTTTTGGTCGCAGACTGCAGGTCAGGGGATAAAGAGGCGTGTGCGGATAAGAGGCGTGTGTAGATTGTTGGGACGACGGTCAGAAAGGTGATTGGTCGTGGAGGCTGTGTTGATGGGGAATTGGGGGAGTGGGGGAGAAAGGGCGCGCCCAGACGATTCCAGACTGCGGATGCGTTGAATGGGAATTGGAATTCGATGGTGCTTCCTGCGAAGAGCGGGGTGAGAAGTGCGTTGACGGTGCCATGAATATGGTGTAAGGGTAGGACGTGGAGCAGGACATCGTCTTTGGTGTAGTTCCAGGCTTGCAGAAGCGATCTCGACTGCGCTGTTAGCACATCCTGTGGGAGAAGGACGCCCTTTGGTCGATTCGTGGTGCCGGAAGTGTAGAGCATCATTCCGCCCTTGTCACTGGTGGGTTCTTCCAAGGTAACGTAGTCGTCCGTCTTGCCCATCATGATCTTCTCTTGCTTGTAGTTGATTGGCTTCATTTGCATGCCTTCCTTCAGCACGTCGTCGGCCTGGGTTTGGAACTTCTCCGAGGAGAGAAGCATGAGCGATTCACTCTGGTCGATGATGTAACGGAGCTCGTGGGCCGGGAAGGTAGGAGATAGGGGTACGGCGACGGCATGCGCAGCCAGGATGGAAAGGAGCGTCACTAGCCACCCGTCCCGTCAATGACTGCCCTGTTTTCCCACCTTTTTTGCGCACATGGCGGGGAGGACAAGGGAATGCGCACCTACATAGTCATAACCATTCTCGACCAAGAATGATATCCTCTCTCCCTCGGCGCTCTTCCCGCCCGTATTCCGCTGCAACATGTCCTTTGCGGCAGCCACATCGTTGACCAACTGCCCATAGGTGAAGGTTCGTCCAGAGAGTGAATGGACGACAGCCGTGCTATGTGCGTCGTGGTTCTGGATGGCCTCGAATATCGGGAGGCGGGGTAATGTTGATGCCATCCTGCTGGCGGGGGGGAGGGGCGGGGAGGTATGGCAGCAATTGGTGTTGTCGGTGTTGTAGGTGTAATAGGCGAATGAGGGTTGCAACGGAGGCACAGAGAAGAAGAGGCAGTGTTGTCTGGTGGCCAGGGTGCGAGGGAGAAGTCTGCGTGCCCACATGGCGGGTGGGAATCGGATAGATTGCACAATGCAGACTTGGGTACCTCTTGGGGATCTGCGCGAACGCCCTCAGCAGCATCCACCGAGCCTGAGCTGGACGGCTGGCTATCCCGGGAGCGGGACTGGGGCGAGATCAGGGTTCAGGCGATAGGCGGTAGGTATGATAGGTAGGTAGGTAGGTTCCTGCTAGGAATCTCGGGCATGGTACGGTAGGTATTACTTCCATCGACCGGGTCGACTAGTTGGCAGCTCGTCGGCCCGTCCAGAGGGCATTCCCAAGGTGGGTCCTAGCTGTGTGGAAATGAAATGGAAAAAAGAGGGGATAGGTAGGAGAATGTAGTATATTGAATTGAATTGAATTGAATTGAATTGAATTGAATTGAATTGGAATTGGAATTGCTTAGATGGGCTTTTGGTGCAACTTGGACCGGTTCTGCAGCTTCAATGGCGGTTGGAACTGTGTGTGTTTCTCTCTCTCTCTCTTCTTTTTTCACGACTGAGCTCAAGCTCTGCTCTAGGTACCGGTGGTCAAACTATGAAAGTTATGAAAGTATGCGACTGTGCAACTATGCAACTATGCAAACTACCCAGCAAAACCATGACGCGCCTCCTTCGGATCTGGTCTTGGCACAGTTAGTACCCCGCCCCGCAATCGGAACCCTCGGCCTTCAATTCGGACGCCGGCCGCCGGTGCTTCCAAGCTAGCTCTCTCTCTACTAGCTCTCTCTCTCTCTCTCTCTCTCTCTCTCTCTCTCTAGCTCTCTAGTGCAACCCCCCAGCCTCAGATCCTCCCACAATCCCTTTCTCATTGGTCAATTGCCCCCCTTGCCCGTTACTACTACTTTCCTACATTCATTCCAACTGCCCACCAGCCACTTTACCTAGCATTCGCTGTTTCATGTCATTCCTGCGAAACGCTGCTTTCGCTGGAAAGCGACTGGCATCATCAATGGCTCCATCCATGACTCCGATGGAAGATGCGCTGCGGACCAAGGGAAGCTCTCACCTCTTACCTACCAAACGAACCTATCTATGACCTCGGACCGGCTTCAGAGTCCAGACACAGAACCCATCCATCCATCCATCCATCCATCCATATATCAAGCAGCCCGCACGACTGACTGTAGAGCAGATTACAGAAGCCCTGAAGCCATCTACCCTGGAAGTCTACAACGATTCACACAAACACGCACATCACAAAGCCATGCAGGGTGTCACAAGTCGAGAGGTAAGAACACGAAACTCGTTGATCAGTCTCTTCTGGAAAGATGGCCTAAGCTGACCCTCCACATAGACACACTTCCGGTATGCCCATCAATTTCGGATCAACTGACACAGTCTTTCCATCTGCTCACCTAACCTCTCCAGTGTCGTCATTACATCCTCGGCCTTCCAGGGCAAAATGCAAGTGGCTCGCCACCGCATGGTCAACACGCTCATGAAAGACGAACTTGCGCGAGAAGGCGGGATCCACGCTCTCCAGCTCACCACTCGCACGCCAGAAGAGGAGGAAAGTAGGAGACTGAAAGAGGCGGCCGAGGCCTGACGTTACATCAAAGCACGACGACAATTAGATACCCAATCAACTCAATCTTTCATTTGCTCCTCACTGTCTACTACCGTCTCTCTTGCCCCCTCTCCGTAAAGAGCGATGACGGCCGTCCAACAGAGAGGCTCCAGAGATGCACGGCTTCGGCCACCCTCACTTTCTCAACCCATCTACTCCCCAACGACCTTCCCATCCACCTTTCCCCCCTCAATCCCCTCCCCACCCTTGAACTTGAATCTCTTCAGTCCTCTGACCCCCACATGAATCTTAAAGCATCCACCAGCATACTTATCCGCCGGCTTCCCCCCCTCTCCACTCGTACCTCCCGCACTCGTGATAAATAGCTCCTCGCCCACAAAGCAGGGGCACGTCGGCTGCAACGTCGGCACCAGAATTTCCGCCACCACTTCTCCCTGCGGCGAAATCCTCAGTACACGACTGCCCCCGTGCAATGCAGTCCACATGTAGCCCTCCTCATCGATGCAATGGCCATCTGGCACCGCTCGCTCGCCATAGCGATTGTCCTTGGGCATGACGAAGAAGGGGCGCTTGTTGGAAATCGCACCCGTAGCAGGGTCGTAATCGAATTGGTAAATCGTCTTGTCCGGGCTATCGGCCCAGTACATGGTATCGTCTTTTTGGTTCCAAGTCGTGCCATTGGGGATCGAGATGTTGCTCAGTGGGCGATCGAGACTGCCATCTGGGTTCAGGCGGAAGACGGCGCCCTCGGAGTTGATGCTCGTGACCAACGGGTCAAACATGAAGCCGGCCCAGAAGCGACCCTGGGAGTCGACGGCACCGTCGTTGCCACGGAACTTTTCGTGCTTGCTCGCGGCGATTTCAGTGGGGGACCAGACGCGGCGGATCCAGCGGTAGGCGCCCGTGGTTTTGTTGGCGATGCCAAAGCCGTATTTGCCAGCGAAGACGAATTCAGAAGGGTTGCCTTCGATGTCGGCGGTGCAGCTGGAAGGAAGAGGGCAAGTGTTAAAAATACAAGTTTTTATTCTGCACGGTGAACAACGTACCCCATGGAGATGTCGTAGTCCTTGATCGTCTTGAGACTTGATGGGCCGGCGTTGACGTCTACGCGAAAGACCTTTTGCTTTTCAACGTCGAGGAAGCGAATGGTGTTTGTGTCTTCCTCCCAGAATGGTCCTTCGCCGAGGGAGCAGTGCGTGTCGAGCCATGGCTACAACGTCGTCAGCACCTGATGCACATCCGTGAAAAGACATTGATGTGATGGAAGGGTGTGATAACCGGCAAGAAGCCAAGGACAAATGCTGCCTTTGGACTGATGAAAGAAAACTCATCACAGGTACATGGAAACCGGCAGTTTGAACAGCGTTTTTTGTTCCCAGATTCCAGACACCAATTCAACTTGAACTCGAGACAACTTCATGTATCGTAGACCTCCCATCCCAAACACATGATCTCAGCGGGGCTCAGACAAACCAAACTCCCCCGCACCCCCCTTCAACCCCTCCGTTCCCACTAAGAAAGTAGACACCACAGCACATACCTCAGTGATTTCATACTTTTTAACCCCAGCCATGATGGTATCAGCGTCCGCAGTTTTCGCAATACCAGAGCGTGGTCGGCTTCCAGTGTCCTTTTGTGACGGATGGGCGTCGGCTTCTTCTTGTGCTCGTGGATGATGTTGTGTTGTTGTGTTCTTTGCATCGCTTCCATTGCCGTTGCCGCTACCGCTGTCGGCCGTCGCACCGCCTGTCCAGGCGGTCCTGAGCGAGGCCCACAATTTGGATAGCGTGGCTCCCATTGCCGCGAGAATGGCGTCCCGAGGAACCGCAAGTGAGGCTAGAGGGTTGCCGAGCTGCGGCTTTGGTCTGGCCTGGATGGGCATAGGAGTAGGTGGTGTGGGCCGTAGTTGGCTTGAATGTCTGGATCGAAAGCTTACAATACCGGTACTGGGCGGTGCAGGAGAAGTTGAGAGGCAGACTGGATGATTGCGAATGCTACTTTATGCACTCACGCAGCGCTTCCAAGTCAATATTCCTCTGATCTCACAAATTTGCACTCCCTGTACCGGTACCGCCGTACGAGCGGCGCCCTTCTACCAGCACATTTCCCGGATTCCCAGCATCAGCACCATCAATCAATCGTGCGTGGTTCACAGGCAGGCGCACTACCCGAGGCTACTCGGCCTCCTCTCAACGGAACCTATTGTCTGGAAAGACGATAGACACGGGGCATCGTAATTTGCTGTTGATAAAGTAGTACCTGTTCATTGAGGTGTTGTTGGTACCGTGTGCCGGTGCCGTATCGGCTAGGCGGTCCGGCTATGCCTGCAACCTTAAGCTCAGTCCAAACAGGAACGGAAAGCAGAGCACTTTTGTTCCGGCGGCGCAGACGGAGCATCTTGGAAGGCGGGATAGAGCGTGCGCGTACGATTTTGCTATGCATCGTGTTCATGAAGAGGATATGTTTGGGTGCAGTGGAACACTGGTCTCGATAGGGTATCTCGGAATGGTGCAAGGCGAAGCATTTGCAGAATCGGAGGTCATGCCGAGTAGGTTAGGCATCATGGTGTCTCGTTGTGGAAATAGGCAACTTTCTTGACGCTCTTTGGAAACATGCAAGGAAGACGAATTGGTTTAATAAACCTTGGCTTGAGACTGCACGAGGAACAAATAATGTGAGTGGTGATTTTGCACTGATAAAAATCATGCATATTCACGTCTACGTACTATACCGGTACACTGCATGTGCGACTTCCCCGCTGTGGACACAACGCGCAAAAAGCTACACCACACCGGTACGTCAAACAAGAAGAGCATCTTAAATAACAACATGAATCTCAGCTTCTCCAAGGAGACATTCCCCACCCATCTGGACATGCGCCCATCTGGTTCCTACCGGTACAGTGTGGTCTCCTGTTGCCCAAACGGCTCTTTTCTATGTTCTACCGTAGAAGCTGAGTGGCGCAAGAAGCACATCTCGTTTCAGTCACAGTACACGGCGCAGGTAAAGAAAGATGTGAAGATTGCGAGATGGCTCTCGTAATCTGGTCGTCTGTGGATTTCGGAGCAGATGTAGCATCATAGCTAAGCAGGCTCTGTGGGTTTATAGAGCAGTTCCGCGCCCCTTGACCACTTTGCTTTGCACCCATTCGATCTTTCTACGATCAGAGCAAGCATTCCAGTGCAACTTTTCATCGCCCCAGCCCCACACTCCATCTCTTCATCTCATAATCGGCACATAGACATCCTACCACGCCTTTTCACCAATCTTCGTCACTATCCTCCTTCTCCTTCTGTCCCTGCGCGTACCATTCCTCATCGCTGTCCATCTCCGCATCCATCACGCCCCCCTTGATTCTATCCACCACTCTCCTGACACCGTCTTTCACGCTCTCTCCCTGTACCCTGACCCCCTCGTGCCAAACGATCGCGTCCATAACCCCATCCAGAAACCACATGACCGTCGGCACAAATGATATATCCAACTCCGCCGCTAGCTCGGGCAGGCTGTACACGTCAAAGCAGTATATGTCTACAATATCGTATTCTGCATGGACGGGCTTTGGGAGGAGGTCCTGGAGACAGGAGACTACTGCATTGGAGGTGCTGTCTTCGGGCCAGTATGCAAGGAGGAGAGCCTTTCCAGTGGCGGATTTTATAAGGAATTCGAACTCGGCTTTTGTGTGTATTGGGGTAAAGTGCTGAGGGGTTGGGGCCGAAGGAGACAGTTTTGGCGGCATTGTGGGATTTCGAGGTACGGTTTGACTTGGAGATGGAGTTGCGCATGCAGCATGCAAGTTTGGAGTCGCGGTGTTGGCTTGGCGTGTTCTGAACGTTAACAGTACCGGTACCGTACCGGTAGGTAGTTTAGGCGGCTGTGTGGCGAATCAGAGCTACCAGTATTTAACTGCCATGATCACGACCACCCCACAAGCGGGGGAACGATTCGAGGTGTTCGTCTCGATGGATGAGCTGAGCACTACATTTAATGACGATATCCTAGAACATAGTCCTTTGACGCACCACTCTTAGCCCATCCGTGATGCGCAACCTTGCCTTCTGACTTGCAAGGATTACCGGTAGTCGTTCCGTTTGATAGGTATGGTACCAGGTTGCGTACCATTGTTATCACGACCACTCAGGTTCTTTACTATCGGGTGGTAAATGACCTAAACAGTGTGCTATGGGACGTCAGCAAACTCCCTGCTTCCAATCATTGTGAATCAGAAAATGCAATGATATCTTCACTCCCTTAGGTATACAACTACTAAAATAAGGTAATAGTTGGGGAATAGAAGTACAATTTTGTTGCACCTCAGACTTGTGCAGGTCACTGATACGCTTACCGATCCATGTCCTATTCTACTTACGATAAGCTGTCTTTATAGATTATGCTTATTTTTTCAATTGCACGACATGAGTAGCAGGCCGGTACCCCATAATAGAACGTGTCCGATATGGTTGGCAACTCACTCGCGATAGCAAAACCAAATTAGAATTAGACATCTAAAGTATACCCACGCAATACTTTATAGATAGCTCTCTATAGCTAATTACAAGCCTACCACAAGTTATACACTCGGTTAAGACGCGCATTTAATATGTATGGCTGTACGCTGTGTTGGTACTATATGCCAAGCAATATTGGATTTCTTTAGTCAATAAATGCATGTCTACGGTTATGGGCATTCATAAACTCTGAATACATGAATCCCAATCGATTAGCATTAACACATAGAAAACGGTATTCCTGTGGTATTCAGTTTCAGTCCTCGGCGTCAATGGGATCTACAACGTACTAATTTTGGATCTAATCAGTGATGATGCTGGCTAGTAGGTTCCTTCGGCCCTTCCCGCTGTTCTATCCTCAACATTTCTTGATGAGTCTACCGGTACCCTCTTTAAATTCTTGATCACCATGCAGTATGCTACATACGTAGGTGCGCTGTCGCCCCGGATTATAAACTTGGACAATCCCCAAGGATTCATAGTACATTAAGCAGCTATCAATGGTCAATGTTTCTAACTGAGGCTGGGTACCTACAAAGGAACGTACATGCTAGTGATCCAGTAGCTCAACCTTACCTTTTTGAGGCGATCTGGTCCATCGCCACAGTTCGGGGTACGGAGGTGACTTTCAAAAGTTCTTGCTAACAGGGGTGTCTATATTACCGCCGTGATACTACTAAAGCTTAGACTACTTAGTCGCGCCGCCCCTCCTTATACTTATTACTACCTTTAAGTCTAATAATCTCCTAAATATAATACTATATACGCTCTATCTAAGCCTAGATATAGTATTAAGGTAGCTTATCCTAAGCCTTTAACTATACTTTTAAGTTAATAGTATATAGTAAAATACTTATAATAGTACTAATTTAGGTAGTAGATTTACTACTAAAAGGTAACTTTAGAGTTATAATAAGCGTATAGGTATAGGGTGTGAAGGGCTTGGGCTTATGCCCAAGCCTGGGTCTAACACAAGACAGACTAAGTCTAACACTACTACTAAGCGAACACACTAGACACCTATAAAAAGGCGTGGAGGGCTTATCTCTCCTTTAAGATACTAAATACTATTATTAACGCTTATTATATTCTCCCTTAAGGCTAGTCTATAATATTTTAGTATCTTCTTCTAAATATACTATAATAGTAATAAGAGATAGACGCGCTAGATATTTAGAATAACTAGGTGCAACCTAATATAGTAGAAAGGCTAATATAATAGGTCTATAGATTAATAGAATAATAGGCTTAAGACTCTACTATAATAGCTATACTATATTAATAGAATAAGGAAATACGCAATTAGATTCTATCCTAACCCTCCTCTAAGCCTGCTAGGTTTAATAATATACTACCTCTACCCTCTCCTACCTTATATTATAAACCCTTCCTAGTTAGCTTACTATATAATAGCACTAAGGCAAACTTCTCCTCCTAGTATATAACTATAGAGTTTAAACTACGTGTAGATAAAGTCTTTATTAGGGATAAGGAGGCAAGGTTTATATATATTTAGTCCTAGTTATTACCTATAGTCTAGCGCGCTATAGCACTATACTTTAAGGATAGTACACGCAAGCATTAGGATATAAGTAGGTTTCTTAACTACCTAGTATTCTATTATCACTACGGTAAAAAATTGTTTACTATAGAATGGTACGCTAGGGGTTTACTATATAGGTGTAAACTAACCTTATGTATACCTATAAATAGGTTTAAAGTAGTGGTTTACTTTTATAGTAGGGGTTTAAATTAAGTATAAAAAGTAGTTTTATTTCTATTATACGCTATAATACCTAACTAAGACTAAAAGGGGTAGAAAAGATTAGCTTTACGCTATACGCATATATGACAAACTTTGTCATAGCGTGGTAATCAACCAGTCACCATCGTCCGCT